GATAAAAATAGAACATAACTAAAATGGAAGCTCTTATTAATCCAGTTTTGAAACAAGTATATATATATATAATAATAGTAATAGATTACAAAAAAATCACTAAAAATTTTTCACTAATAACAATACCAACACTATTATTATATTAATATTAAGGCAAGTTTCTTTTTATTCACAGAGAAATGCGATTACCTTAAGTTTATTTGTGTCTTCTATTTGGTTGGTCATGGAACGTGTGGGGCTACCCTTCTTGGGCTCATAATATTTCACAGATGTCTTATATACGTTTGTGGGTATTCCTTGAAGGTCGACAATTGCAACGTCGCCATCATGACTGATGAGCTGGGATACTTATAAATGGTTATTGGTTTCTCTCATTATCTATGTTTCTGAAAGACCATATAATGATGAAACAGATAATGAATAAAGCTCCTCATGAGCTGGCTTGCGAGTCAGATAACTTATTCAGAATGTGAGCTGGCTTGCAAGCTTAGTAAATTATTTGGCTTGCGAGCTGGCTTGTGAGGAGCCTTATGAATGCTTGTTATTTTCATTTTCTGAATTATTTCTAATAATAATGATGAGGGGGGACAGAAATAAATGGAAATTAAAAAATGAATCTTATATATAATTGCTTAGTCCTTTGACTAACTGTTTCCCCATTTCTTTTCTAATTACAGATGGTACATAGAAGAAGAAGATCAAGCATTACTAAATTATTCAATAAATTTTATAGAATATCAACATGGAAAAAAAATGATGCAAATAAGGATGACTTGGCTGAAGGTGGAATAGAACATGAAGTACTGTAAAGTCTGGAAAGATAGCACCCCCTACTTTAAAACAATTGAGTGTCAATATAAAAAAAATGTTACAGACTTTACAGTAGACGCTATTATGGAATTTTTAGAGAAAATTTCTGGTGTATCACTCAAGTGGTAAGAAAATAATAAACAAAAAATCAAATAAGTAACCAAAAATCTTATATATAATAATATCTATTTATTTAGGGCAGAATTTGCCAGCAGCTCATCAACCCATAGAAAGATAAAATATGGAAACTGACCTGATTGTGCTTTTAACATCAGACCAATAGATTCTTTGTGGGAAATTGGGTTCATTGAATTTAAAAAATCGAGCACAAACAATGAGGATTTTGGAAAGTTAGTTAGGTTTGTAGTCAACCTGAAAAAAATTAAATATTTATGATTTTGAAATTATCCATTAACCACTATAAATACTTTTAGGTTTGCTGTGGATGCAAAAGACAAAATTTTCCACAATTTCTCATTAATTAACAAACATTATATTAAAGAAGCAAAAAAAATTTTAAATTTAAAAATAATATTGTTACAATGGAAAAGTAAGTCATAATCTTTTGGTTTTGTATTCATTAAGAAATATATACTAAGATTCATAATTATTTTTATAGGATTTGAGATGGATGTTTATGTGTTTAGTCAACTTAATTTCATGCTGGACAATGAAAACCATGAAATGATACCGGTTGGGCAGATGGTGAAACTGGATACTTTATTATATTCATACAATACACCAACATCATCAAGCTTATTATATAATTTATTGAAAAAATTAGCTGACTTGGGGTGCTTGTTAAAAGGCATAAGGAAAGAATATGAATCGTGCATAAGTGGCAGCCTCACATATAATCCTGAGGACAAAGGAAAAGCTAATGCTGTTGGTAATATTATAAATCCGAATATTAAAACACCATCAGAAAAGACTGGTGATAAAAGGAAAAAATAAAAAAAATAAAAAATAATTGAGATTTTTTTATTTAAAAATTTAAATTTACTATTGAAAAAAATTTGCAAATTAATTTTAACAATAATAATAATCTTTATCCATGATTGATGAAAATTTCATTAACTTGGGTAAGGAGGGAATAACTTTTAAGTGAATTTATTGGTTGAATACTGTGAGAAACATACTTTTCATGACCATGTTATTACACTCATCAACTATTCTGCTATGCTGTAGCAAATGTATATTTATTTATTATTTACTACTATGATTTATATTCATATTTTCCTTAATTTATCATTTAGTTTGCAATCTACTGCGCCTATTGCACTTTAACAATTTGTCATTCCAATACTTTTCTTCACACCTTTCACAAACCATGTCATCTGAAATTCATTCCCCAGTTACTTTGCTACAGACTCTTATTTGATGAACAGATTTGTTATTTACTAACTCTAAAACTGTGTATTTTAGTTCTCTCATTGTAATTTACTTGTTATTTAGACTTAATCTCTACTTGAGCAATCATTTCTTGGTTGTGAAAATTTTCCTTTTTGATTAGCCTTTGTAATTTTTGGAACTTGACTTTTGCTTCTGTTTTTAACTGCTTAAATGTGCTCTGTTTAATTGAAGACAACTTGTTTTCTCCTTTTATAGGTAAAGAAGGTAAAGGTTTATTGTTTAAATAGAGTAAACTTTCATTTTGTGATTCACTATCAGTTAATTGCTTGCTTAGTTTTTCTTTTTTTTTGTTCTTTTGACTTGATTCTTCCTCTAATTTTTCAACTCAGGCTTCTAGATAAGAAATTTTTTCACTAGCACTTTTGAGTTTCTTGTTTTTTTCTTTTATACAGTGCGGATCATCTATACTTAAAAGTTAAAATTTTTGAAATATTATGTGATCCACACATTGGATTTTGAAAAACTTACCACCATTAAATTCAGCTTTAAAAGGGGAGTCTATTAATCTAAAACAAAAATTGTCTCAAATTTTCTTTTCATAGATTTTTTAAATTTGAAAGTTATGCTCAGAAGTGCAACAATAATTTTCATGATATAGTTGGCTTGGTCTAAAGACCTCCTAAATTTTGGGCAAATTTTAAAAGTATAGAAGTCACTTTCTGTCCTAACTTTTAAAAAAATAGCTCTATTAGTTGATAGAATATGTCTTTAGTTTTAATGTAATAGAGAGATTTTCTTAAAAAAATTATTTGTTGTGGAATTGCTATCTTGTTAGTGGCATACCTACTCACCAACAATTCTACTCCATTTATTTAATTAACGAATTCAGTTGGTCAAATAAAAATTAAAGAAAAACAAAGTATTTATGAAAATGATTGATTTATATATAATATACCAAAATCTGAACCATTTTATAACTTTTTCCTTGTTGGCCATATTGCTGACAAAGATATATATATATAATCATGTGATAATTTTAATCTATAGGACAGGGGACTGATTGTGCAAAAACCAATTCAGTCCCTACCCAAAATCATAAATTGGTTAGTATTAAAGAACAGAGAATTTAGGAAATGATTATACAAAACAAAACACTATTTTACAACTTTCCTCTTAACATCAGAGCCCAAATGCAATTTCAGGGTCACAAACCCTGCTCTGAATGTGACCTTATGTGCTTGGAACAAGTTGCAGATTCTCATTGCTTTGATGAACTGGATGTTTATGCGCACCTAATATTACAATTCATCTGCAGAGTTGCAACTTGGACACAGTGCCAACCTTACCCTAGAGGTAGAGGTAGGATTGTTGCAGGTGACTTTTTGTCTAATGTGCCAGCAGCCTTCTCTGGTCTGGGTGCTGTGAGGGAAGATTAGTGAAAATGTCATTGACAATTGATGCGGTTTTGGTAAACTCCAGGGCCATGCTACCCTGGAGTTCAGTCGCATCATTGTATCATCAGGGGTGCAAGTCATATTAGCCTTGTGTACACAAGGAATGTGTGAGAATGACTGTAAAGTGTTCAAGGCAGCATGTGTACTTTAATGCCTGCTAATTTCCAATAATCAAAGGTCACATATTTGAATTGTTTCTTTTTCAACAGTCAGTCTGCCTTGACATCTTGTAGTTATTAATTATAATAATAATATCATTAACAATTATGAAAAGCAAAATGCCAATTATTCATTTGTCATCTTGATTAAGGTTTCTGGTCGAAACTGCTTCTATTAGTAGCCGAAATTGCCCAAATACTTTGGGCAAAAATTATTTTTTTATAAGCCCAAACTACTTTTTGTTATTAGCTGAAATTGGGCGAAATTATTTTAAAGTTGTTTAAGTTAAAACAAGTTGATTCATATAGTTTTTTAATGTTGATGCTTATAGAGAATGTTGAGAAGCCCAAATTGCCCAAACTAGTTTGGGCTTTGAGAAAACAGTTTGGACCAGAAACCTTAATTCAGATGATAATAAATAATTATACACGTTATTGATAAATAAAAATAGAAATAATAAAATAAAATAAAATAAAATAATAATAAAAATAAAAATAGAAATAAAATTTAATTTGACCCAAAATTAAAGGGTTCAGCCAAATTATTGTCATCATCATCCGATCCTGGTAACAGTACTAAAACCATATTTCTTAGAACTTTTAACTTCCAGCTAATTTTATAACTACTTTTTTAACAATAATTTCTAAAAAAACCTTACAAAGTGAACATAAAATTATATATATAGGGAATCCTTTCAAGCTCTTTCTAAGCCAGAACAAGACATATTTTTGATGGCCCAACTTAAAGCAATGGATGGTGGATTAACAAGCACTAGCAGACATCTTAAAAAGAAAACTAGATCTAATAAAAGAACTTTCTATCACTGGGATCACAATACACTCCTTTGTCAAGAAACTTATCTCAATATGTTGGGAATTGGTAGGACTTACTTTGAAAATATCAAAAATCACCTGATAAACAATGGTCTTCTAGCAAGAGTTCATGGTAATATTAAAAGAATGCCTCAATGGAAAACTAAAA